GAAAAGAATGAATAAAGAATGGAATTTACCTGAAATATCCATCGTCAGAAAGATGGCGTCTAGCCCAAGTTGGTGTTCGTCTTGAATGAGGCAGAACCGGACTCGCTGATGGAGATTGAGAGGCAGAATAAAAGGTCGGTTTTGGTTCATTCATACAAGGATAGTCTAGCTTTGGCAAATGACCCTTGTTAAGTTTCTCAACAAGTTCCTGAAAAGTACAAAGAAACCCGAACATGTTACACACTCTTTCTAGAATACAAACAATGCATACAGTGAAAGAAAGATGTAGTTCAGAAAAGATAAAGACCTCTACGATCGGATAAAAGCGAGACAATTGCCATGTTTGAGTTTCACCAACCCGGTCTTTACGAGCTGCTCGCTTCTTCTGATTCACATATGGATCAAAAGATTCCTCTTATGAGATTTTCAGGTAAAAATAAAATCTCAGTCCTGGACACTAATAGACACACAGGAATGAGGAGGAATACGTACCTTAAGGACATCAAACTTGAGAGGGAAAGACCCTGTTGTGCTCCTTTTAGATTCCGTATGCACTGGTCCAAGTAATCTCAAATTGTTCACAGCTACAACATCATCCCCCGACAATTTTGCTAACTAAAGGATTTAATCAAGAAGTAGAAAAGCTCAAAAATCATAATCAATCATCCTTAGGTTCAAGCTTTTTGAGGGAAGAGTATTGTTTTATACCTCCATCATCTTTCTTCCCTTCTCACCTTCAAACTTCTTGGGGTAGATTGCGGCAAGTATCATCATCAACCGTAGCTTGCTTTCTTGGTTTATAACCTGGAAAGGCCGAACATTTTTAGCACAACAACTTCTGATGTCTGGAACTGAAACGAAAAAAAGCAGAGAATCTTACATTGTTTGTGCTCAAGAATTTGATGACGTCTTTTCTTCCAGCATCCCCAAAAACAAGGTCTTGCTCTAGCTTCCCGAGTTCTCTTAAACCTTGCTCCATTATTGTTCTGTTAATTGTTCTAGCAATCTGCAGTGACATTAACCATATTTATTTTATAACGAACAAGGGAACTACCTTGTCACGTTGCAAGAAAGGATACTTAGAGTCAGATTTTCTTCCATGGTTTATCTTATAAGCTTAAACCGACCTCTACGTGAAGTGAGAGCTTGTCAATTTGCTCACTGTACTGAGGCAAAGCGTGAACCATCTTCTTCAAATCTTTTGATGAAATGTCACCAAAGTCTCTAGACACAAGATGTCAATAAAGTAATCAGAAAAGTTCAAGTGGATCACTTGAATCGAGAGAAAAAGTCAAACAGGTAACTACTTTGAACTGTGTTTCAATTGCGCGGCTTTGTTCTTCGATATGAAGTTTGTCATCTTCTCATGCAATCTTTCACTTGCCTGAACCAAAAAAATAAACGGATTACTACCTAACAAGTCCACATAAATGACATAATATTAAAATCTAAGAAAGAGGAGGCATGATAATATAGCAAGAGAACTACATCTGCAATATGAACATCACGAAGCTCCACCCAAATGGGATCTTCTTCATCTAAAAGAACCTCTTTCTTTTCAGGTTTATCACCAGTTTTACTTGGAACCTGTACACTAAAAAATAAAAGGAAAATTACCATATTCTGTATTGATGAGCTACAACCAACTTTTAGAAAATTTGAACGCACAACCAAGATGTCACCTCGTGTGTGTATTTATTTCCTTCCATCTTAAGCAAATCATGGCACATTGCATCATACGTCCACTCATGAATGAGAGGTGCGATCTAAAAAGGACAAAAAGGTTATTCCATATAAAATAACAATAACAGTTCAAGTTAAAACTGAAAGATAGTTGTCTCAGTGAAGATCCAGACCTGGTCTATGGATCGATCCAAGATAAGTAGTTCACATGTTTCAGTCTGAGGAAAATCTTCAATTGTCTGTTTGTATCTTGCCAGACAATTCCATACACTAGCAGCAAGCTTTGTAGGAATCAACTCTCGGTAAGTTGTCATTGTTGTGGCATCAAGAGCTTTGGCTCCACGGTAGCGCACAAAGGGGTATTCCTGTATACCAGAAGTTTAAAGATAAGACGTCTTAGTCATTTCATCCTAAATCAATAAATAACGTTTTGTGCCTCGGACCTTTACTGAAGCCAAAACTGTAGCAATGCGTTTAGCAACCACATTCAAGCAAGCATCTGCTCTCTGATGGTTCTCCTCGTCGCTGTAAAGATCTTCCAGAGCATTTTCGTTATTCGTAACGAAACCCTGCAAAGACAATACATAGGAGGAATTAATAAACAGATTTGAATGTACAAAAAAAACGGACATAGTAAAAACACGTCCATTTTCCTAAATAGACAAGTCAGTTCTAAGCTGTCTTAAAGCTGTATGTAAGTTTGGGCTCAAGAAAAGAAACCAATAAGTTGATAGTTGAAGATCCAAACTCATTAACAGCTATCACAATTGTCAAAACTACGCAATAAATAAATATTTTAAACATTAAAGATACCTGGATGTCCATGCTGATGTACTCCAAGTTCATCTGCATATCAGGAAAATAAAATTTCCATTATCTTAACTATTTTGTAACATTGCATGTAACTAAGGAAAGTGACAACAAAAAGATATGACTAGCATATGGAAGCAACCTCTTTCAGTGCGCCAATTCGTTTCATTGCTCGTACGTCCTTCCTAATGAGAGTAACTAAGTTTCTCGTAACAGGAGAACTAAAGAACACGAAAGCCCTAAAGCCACATGAAATAGAAACGATTAATCATTTCGGACAAGTCAGTCCACAGGTATATAACTAAGGAGTTGTGAAATAGGAAAGAACAGTTTCACATACTTCTTGTAAAGTGGTGATTTCCCAGTCATATCAGACAAAAACGCATTGACACTGAAAAACAAAGAAAAAGCTTCAGAAAATCCAATCTCATTTGCTAGAACCTGATATCAACTGTCTCGGATGGAAGAGTATTTACTTTGATTCGGTTGGTTGAATAAAGTATATGGCTTCAATGGAAGGCATAGGCTGTCTCTGTTTAGTTATGACCTCAACCACTAGAAAAACGAAACAAAATACTTCAGAAAACATTCCCAAAGAGTACAAATCTGCGAAGATGATTATAAAAAAAAAAAATCTGAAAAAGGTAATAAATCTTACAAGAAATGCCTTGTTGTGTGATCTCAGACATTTTGCAAGCAGATGACATAATCTTCACAGTGAACTTGTCCAAAACAAGTACCTACGTAATACATTTCCAAGTTCAGGGAATCAAAGGGTCTTAAAGGTAAAGCTAATTATTCAATGTGTACAGGAAATCACCTTCCAAGCTGATTTTGAGGTCCCATTTTTCTCTGGCGCAAGCATTTCATACAGTAATCCTGAAATCAAAAGTTACAAAGATACATTAACCTGAGAAAAAAAAACAAAAACCAACTTTTGTAAACTTACTACAAATACACAACTTTTGTAAAATTACTACTAAAAACCCTGAAACAACATCTGATTCTCATCACGTTGACCTAATTCGAAACTCATAAACCCCTAAGACGCATACGATCTCTCAAACGAAACACTAGAACCCTGTCGAAGCCCAATTACAAAACACATAAGTCTTGTGAATGGTAAGAGAAAGAAGGCTCACTCTCTCGGGTGATTTGCCTGAAACTCTTGTGGTCTCCGCCATTTGAGCACGATCCAGAATCGAAAGACATGGCGTGTGAGCACCGCGATTTTGATCGACGGGAAAGAAGAAAATTACGGTGGAGTCGCAAGTAAAATCGGATTCCGAAACAGGTTCCCAAAGGAAGGGGGAGAAGATAATGTGTTTTTTTATTTTGAAGATTTTGGATCGAAGAAAAAGGGGGAGAATCTAGGGTTTTACTTGGTCATGAAGAGAAACGTAAAAAGAAAGAAACTTGGCGCTTCTTCTAGATTTTCCGGGTCGGCTCCGAGAGAGAGCGAGCCCACGATTTTTCAAAGTTTGAACCAGTTTTCTCCGAGGCGTGTGTGAAAGTCAAAACTTAGGGACTGTAGAAATGTTATTTTATTAAGAGAACTAGATGATAACCCGCGCATGTGAAATTTTCATACTAATATTTATTCATTAAATGGTTTTTAACATTTTGCAATACTACAATATTTATCGATTATAAAATGATGAATGCAAATGTTGGTATCTTAAATCATTATAGGTCTGGACGTTTGAGACTTCGTCGGTTTTAGTTTGATTGACACGTACTTTCAGTTATTTATGGTCGTTTAAAAAATTTAAAAATATAAACTATAAGAAAAAATTTAAATTTTTATTATATATTTAAATGCGATTGTTTAATTTATTTTAATAATTTAAAATTAAACAAAAAAGAGAGGATACAAAAATATGTATTATTCATAATCACTAATTACATATATATGTTAATCATATTAGGTAATTCCGTAACTTTTATTTAAGGAAATAAAATATATTGTTTTATACCTAGCAGAGTTGGTCCCTTAAAAATGTTTATATATTATAGTCCTAAATGTAAGAAATTAAATGTTACATTATTTCATTCCTAGCAAAATTGATCCATTAAAAAATTAAAACTGAAAAGCTCTGTGAGCTTGACACGTAAGCATGATCTCCAAGGTTGTGCATTTATGAATGCTTCAGGATTAATATATAAGAGATGTTTATTTGTAAAAGTAACCCCTCAATATAATCAGTAATTTATAATTAACCCACCATCTAAAGACACTGTTTAATATCATCCTACTAGGTTTCAACACAAATACTCCTTACTAGTCTTATCAAAGAAAATTACTCAAAAACAATTTTGAAATAAGAACATAGAAAAATTGTCATCAATGATCTCTCCATCGAATATTGAAACTAGATAACATCGCTATATGTGTTTCATGTCTCTCCTAACAAAGAGATACGATTCATATTTTACATTGAACAATCTACCACACAATCATCACTACTAATTGTCTTATTATTACCAAACACACAAATCACACATCACTACACTCCTTTTGCTTGATTCAAAGTCGTCAAGCCTTCAAGAATCAACTCGCTTCTTGGTTCAGGTATCTTCTTCTTATACCGCTTCCATTGCAAGAAAGACACAATTATGTAAACAATAACAACAAATATAAGCCAGCTAATACTGAACGTTAAGTACCACACTGCATCTGGAGATACAACTGACATTGAGACTAAGTAAGAGACATGGAGAGGCACCATTATCCATAGAAACGACCACAAATATTCATCTCCAGCTGGTAAAAATGTAAACGCCATGAGAGCCGCTCCTTCGAAAGCCATGCTATTCACTGTCCTTAGAACATTGAAATAACTAATAGGAAGGATATATATGAATATGGAAATATTCTTATTTAATGTTTATCTATTACTTGGAGGTCAAGCAAGTTGCTACCTATATATTGTAACCAATTCTATTGAGATCAATAAGATAACGATTTAGAGCAATACCTAATTTAATATGGTATCAGAGCCTCCCTTTGGCCTGTGTTAATTCTTTGCTCTCGAAAAAAAAAAAAAAAACCCTAAAACCTAAAACAATGGTCTTAGCCTGCGTTCAACATGTCCGGCAGCAACGACAAGAAAGAACCAGTGTTGATCTCACCTTATGCGATTCAACATGGCGAACATAGTGGTCAGGTTCTGACTTCTGTGCTTTTGAATGGAGAAAATTATGAGCGATGGTCGAAGCTCATGATCAACGCCCTCCGTTCAAAACGAAAGCTTGGTTTCATTAATGGAACTTTGCAACGACCAGACGAAGGTACTGATGATGCAGAACGATGGGATATGGTGAATTCCTTAATCATCGGCTGGATCATGGCGAGTATCGATGAGAAACTGCGATCTTCTATCTCGATAGTGGATGATGTCTCTGTCATGTGGGAGAGCATCAAGTCGCGATTCTCGGTCGGAGATGGCACACGAGAACATCAACTTCATGATGACATTCGCAAAAGTAAACAAGACGGACAGACCGTAGAAGAGTACTACGGCAAGCTCAAAATTCTGTGGGATGATCTCGCCAACTTGGATAAAGGTTTCTCCTGTTGCTGTAAGAAGCAGAGTTGTGCTTCAATGGTGCAGTTTAACAAGAAACAGGACGGGATTCGTATTCACCAGTTCCTTATGGGTTTGGATAGCCGCAAATTTGGCACCACTCGTTCGAACTTGCTGGCACGTCTTCCTGAGTTGAACATTGATCAAGTCTATTCACAGATAATACAAGAGGAGCGACATCACAATGTCACCCGGGAAGAGGAGCCACCGAGCACAGCGCTTGGGTTGTCGGCTTCTGTTTCTAAACAGTCACTTCTCTGTACTCACTGTGGACGGGTTGGTCATGAAAAACAGCAGTGCTTCAAGATTATTGGCTACCCCGAGTGGTGGCCGGATCAACCAACAACAAGTAAAGCACCTGGTAATAGTTCTGGTCGTGGGAAAAACTCGATGCGAGGACGCGGGAAAGGACGTGGCTCATCAGCTGTTGCCAATCAAGTATCAACAACATCTTCCGCTGGTATTCCTTCATTGACACCAGCTCAATGGGCTTCGTTAGCTGGTTTTCTCGACAGTAAGAAAGATGGTTCCGGTGAAAAACTCTCCGGTAAGATCGATAAGTTAATTCTTTATGGGACTCACAGTCGTTTTGATCTGATCATTGACTCTGGTGCGAGTCATCACATGACCGGTGATATCACCTTACTCACTGATCTGCAGTCGATTGCTGCATGTCCGATTAAATTACCTAACGGTGGTCTCACTTGGGCCACTCGTCAAGGAATATTGCATCTTGGTGGAAAGATGATCCTCCGCAATGTGTTTTATGCCCCTGATCTTCATATTACACTCATATCTGTTGCTCAATTACTGGATGATATTGCTAGTTCTGTGATTTTTACAAAGCAATTTTGTTTGATACATGACCTAACTTCGAGGACTTTGATTGGTGCGGGTGAAGCACGTGACGGGGTTTATCATCTGACCGGTGCGGTTCTTCCTCAGGCAAGCCGAATTGGGAAGATGGATACTCGTGATTTATGGCATAAGAGAATGGGGCATCCCTCTTCGAAAGTTCTTAGTTTATTATCTACTTATGGTGATTTTTCTTCTGGTGTTAGTCGTTTAGACGACAATTGTGATGTTTTCTCTCGAGCAAAACAGACTCGTGTTTCATTTTCTGAAAGTTTTAATAAAGCTGAAGATTTATTTAGTCTGATTCACTGTGATGTTTGGGGACCTTATCGTACAAAATCTACATGTGGATCTACATATTTTCTCACCATAATTGACGACTTCTCCCGTGCTGTTTGGACACAACTTTTACGTGAAAAGTCGGCTGTAACAACGGTGGTAAAGAATTTTGTTTCTTGGGTAGAACGACAATTCGGAAAACAAGTCAAGACGGTGCGCACAGATAATGGGACAGAGTTTCTGCCCCTCCGACCTTTCTTTGCTGAACACGGCATATCTCATCACACTTCATGTGTATATACACCGCAACAGAATGGTCGGGTTGAACGAAAGCATCGGCATATCCTCAATGTTGCGCGTGCTTTGTTGTTTCAATCACATCTTCCTATTCGATTTTGGGGAGAAAGCATCCAAGCTGCGTGTTTCATCATCAATCGCACACCGTCAATGATTCTTCATGGCAAGTCTCCATTTGAAATCCTATACAACCGGCCTCCTGATTACAGTATCATACGCACTTTTGGTTGTCTTTGTTATGCAACGCAAACGCCTAAAGCCAGTGATAAATTTGCAGAAAGAAGTTCTCGCTGTGCTTTTCTCGGTTACCCCTTTGGCAAAAAGGGTTGGCTTGTTCTTGACCTTAAGACGCAGAAGATCTTTGCCTCACGAGACGTTCACTTCTATGAGAATGTTTTTCCCTTCGAAGCTTCACAGTCTTCTCCGAGCATAGTGGAAAATCCAGTAAACTCTTTTTCTGACCCATATATTATTGGAGATCCTGATGAGGATGTACCTCTTGAGGGGGAGCCTTGCTCAGCTCAACCGCAAGCTCATACAGAAGCTGTGCCTACTGCAGAACCGGTTCTCTCGGAAAACATTGACCCAGCGAGTATAGATGTCGAGGATGCTGGTCCTACTACTACTCCAACTGCAACACCGGTCCCAATACCACCTGTTGATAATGAGCCTCTCGGTCGTGGCCACCGTGTCAAACGCCCGTCGACAAGACTAGAACCGTACGTCACCAATACTGCGACCGTCAATGATAAACCCTCTCACGATGATGCTTCCTCCACCGTCAGCTCCTCAAGTAAGTGTCTATATCCTCTTTCCAGTTTTATGACACTAGATCGTTTCTCTGCTCCACAAAGAGCTTTCTTGGCAGCTGTAGATGCTTATGCTGAACCCACGTCTTTTAAAGACGCAATGCAACATGCTCATTGGCGTGACTCTTCTAAGGATGAGGTTACTGCATTGGAAAAGCTTCATACATGGGATGTGGTAGATTTACCTCCGGGTAAACATGCTATTGCCAGTAAATGGGTTTTCAAGGTGAAGCTTAAATCTGATGGCACCATTGAACGATACAAGTCGCGTTTGGTGGTTTGTGGAAATCGGCAACAAGAAGGAACTGATTATGCAGAAACGTTTGCTCCAGTCGTCAAGATGACCACTGTTCGTGTTTTCCTAAAATGCGCTGCTGCTAAGGATTGGGAACTATGCCAAATGGATGTGCACAATGCCTTCCTTCATGGTGATTTGAAAGAAGAAGTTTATATGAAACTACCTCCCGGGTATGCTGCGTCTGACAAAAACAAGGTCTGTCGTTTGCGCAAATCTCTTTACGGTCTGAAACAAGCTCCTCGTTGTTGGTTCGCTAAACTTTCAGCATCATTGCTTAAGTTCGGTTTTGTTCAGAATAGGAAGGACTACTCCCTCTTTTCCTATCACCGCGGCTCATCCTGCGTCTACGTACTCGTTTATGTTGATGATTTAATCATTGGCGGCAATGACTCTGATCTTATCTCCAAATTTAAGACCTATTTGAGTACGTGTTTTCATATGAAGGATCTCGGAACCCTGAAATATTTTCTTGGTTTAGAAATATTGCGGAACAAAGATGGTATCTATGTTTGTCAACGAAAATATGCATTGGATATCGTTACTGAGTGTGAACTAACAGGGTGTCGCCCATATGATACGCCATTGGAGCAGAATCATCATCTTGCTCGAGACAAAGGACCACTCTTTGATAATCCCTCTCGCTATCGTCGCTTGGTCGGTCGTTTGGTATATCTCTCGATCACTCGCCCAGATTTGAGCTATGCTGTTCACCTTCTTGCTCAGTTTCTGGCTCAACCTCGCGAACGTCATTGGGCAGCTGCGATTCGTGTCGTTAAGTACCTTAAAGGTACTCTTGGTCAAGGCATCCTTCTTAGCTCGGGAAAGGATCTTCATGTCAATGCTTTTTGCGACGCAGATTACTCAGCTTGTCCTCTCACCAGGCGTTCCCTTACCGGTTATGTTGTTTTATTGGGTGATTCTCCGGTGTCCTGGAAAACGAAGAAACAAAAGACAGTCTCTCGTTCCTCTGCTGAATCCGAGTACAGAGCAATGTCTTTCACATACTCAGAGATTCAATGGCTACTGGAGTTACTACCGGTCTTCAAGATCAATCATTCCAAACCAGTTTCTTTCTTCTGTGATAATCAATCTGCGATCAAGATTTTGAAGAATCCAGTTTATCATGAGCGCACCAAACATATCGAAAACGATTGTCACATTATACGCGATGCTTTTCAGGCCGGTGTTCTCGCTCCTAAGCATGTCCGAACGCATGAACAGCTGGCGGATTTGTTAACAAAGGCGCTTGGAAGAGTTCAGTTTCAACGTCTTCTTGACAAGATGGGAGTTCGAAACATACACTCGCCATCTTGAGGGGGAGTAATAGGAAGGATATATATGAATATGGAAATATTCTTATTTAATGTTTATCTATTACTTGGAGGTCAAGCAAGTTGCTACCTATATATTGTAACCAATTCTATTGAGATCAATAAGATAACGATTTAGAGCAATACCTAATTTAACAATAACTCTGGTTCATCACAACTTTACCAACACCCTTCAGACCACTACTACTTCTTTCATCAGCATTGCTTTGGTAAACACCTCCAGGTGGTTGAAGAGCTGTCTGATAAGTAGTTGTGATTATCAGTGCAACTATCACTAGAAGTGCACTACGTGATCCATCTGATATCTGATTCCTATACCGAGCTGCTTTTGTGAACAAATGCTCCTTGAAACGTATAGGTGTTCTCAATATTTCTGATAATTTCGTTGACTCTGGAAGAGAGTTTGCGTTGTTACCTCCTGATTTTCTAATAGTTTCCTCGATTTCTCGATTCCTATGGTTATGTCTCTGATTTTGCAAGATATCTAGAGCGGTTAAACCATTCCGGTTATAGATGTTTCCGTTAACCGCTCTAGAACTTAGCAAAATCTTAATTGCCTTGATTTTATTTTGATATGATGCTATGTGCAAGGCTGTGTTACCATTGTGATCACGTCTGTTAAAAACTTGCATCTCTAGCGATTCGGCATTTATTTGACGCAATCTCTGCACCCACCCCACAAGTACTTCGAGTTCTTCATATCTATCATGCTTAACAGCAATGTGTAGAGACGTCTCACCGTCCACGTTCACATCTTTAACACAACGAGGACAAGCCAACAGGAACTCCGTCATAAGATCAAGTTCTCCTCTTCTTACAAGCATATGAAGCGGCGTAGTACCTATTTTTATAATTGAAAGTAGAAACATAGACCTCTTACACAAGTTAAAAACAAACAAACACATAAAAGATGTATTATTTTGTTTCGTATGGTAGAATCACGAAAAGAAGTTTGTATACCTTCTTTTCCTCGAAGACGAACTAGATCGGGATCAAGCTTGAGTAACCCCAGAGTTAACCGTCTTTGATCTTCCTCTATAGCAAGATGCAGTGGACTTGACCCATAAGTGTTAAGTTTTCTAGCAAATGATGGCTTAAGATTCATCATCTCCATGGCAAAAGCAAGATTTCCAAAAGTAGAAGCTACATGAAGAGGAGTGTTTATGAATGGTACGACATCAATGGTTTCAAGAATGTAAGGATCCTCATGGATTAGAGCATACAAATCGTCTATGCTTCCTATTTGAGCCGCTGAAGTCAATCTTGAATCCATTTGGGAAATGTGATTAACAGTTTTGGTCACTCGAAAACTTACATTCCTTGTTTAATATATGGATCGCTGAACTTGACCCATCATTCTTATATGATCTGAACTTGACCCACCATTAGTTTAAGGTGAAAGGATATAATTTGGCTAAGCCAATATAAGATAAACACTTTGAGGAACTCAGAAAGGGACATGTTAACAAAGTCTTTCTTGAGAAATTACAGAAGTTAATAAGTTTGACTTTATCCATTACTTTATAATCCAGTCTTCCTTGCTGGTTCTCTACTGCAAATAAACTAATGAGCCTTAGTCCTCGATCGTATGTTGCGTTTACATTTGCAGTTTATTATATCTTTTCTTTCTCAAATATTAATAATCATAATCACTTTAAACAACACTAAGTGTTCAGAATTTGACCATCTTTATAATTTTCATGAATAGTTAGTTGATAATTTTTTGTTTAATTCATATTTTTGTATCTCTAATGTTTATGCCGGATTTCTTTCAAAATAAGACGAACACATGGTTATTGTTTTTTAATCATATAAATCAGCCAAAAATTTGGTCGCCTCTTAGTCAATTTAACGTATGAAATTTGTTAACAAAAGAAAACAAAACTCAAATGTTAATTTGTAAGATCATGTCTAACTTATCCTTATAGTTTTTCTATGCTCAAATGTACATCTATATAATTGATATAAAATTTGAGATGACAAATTTATGTATGAAGTACATATTGACTTTTTTGGCAACATTTATGGAGGACAACACTAGAACAAAACTTAGCTTTGTAATAAAGTTTTTTTTTTAGAGAAAAAAAATGAAAATCAAATGGAAATGGTCTAAACGCAACCGTCAAATGAGCCAAATGAAATGCTGACCGAATCTCTAAAAACTCGCTCAGTCGAGGAAAAAGTCTCCTTTACATGTCTGGCTCAGTAATTTCATCGAACACTTCCTAGGCAACCACACAACTTCCGTACGTACACAACACGTGTCACAAACCAGACGTCAAGTTCTCCCCACGTGTCATTCACGTGGCTTTGTCTAAAGAGCTTCCTCCTCCACAGCAATCGTTAAACCTCAGAGACGAACAACAAAGCAAGCAATCACAATTGCAATGCTCCGATTCAATCTCCGCCGTCAAATCTCCAATTCAACCGGCATTTACCGCCGGAACATACACAGCGGTCTCGAAGATGCCGGTCCGATGGCATCAAGGCTTAAATCCCGATCCGTCGTCCGGTTTAGCGGACCGGATACGGTTAAGTTTCTCCAGGGATTGTTGACCAACGATGTACGGAGGTTCGGTGAATCGTCCAGCGAGAAAACCTCGGCGGTTCCCACTACGAACATGCCTTCCGTCTCAACGCCGTCTATGTACGCGGCGCTTTTAACTCCTCAGGGAAGGTTTCTGTACGACTTTTTCTTGTATAACCCGACCCGACCAGACGAAAAGCTTGATCGAACCGGTTCTGGACCCGGGTCGGATCCGGGTCGTGATGGGTCTGTTGAGTTGTTTGCAGATGTTGATGTTAATGTCCTCGATGAGTTGCTTGAGACACTAAAAAAGTAAGCTTTTTGATGCCTTCTCTGTTTTGGTCTTAGCTGATTAGGGTTTTACGTTTTAGATTCTTGTAGAAGAAGGAACCAGTTTCTTATTAAGGGTTAGTTCTGAAGTGTGGTGTTCCTTTGATAGATATCGTTTGAGGTCGAAAGTGGATATTGAAAACGTTGCGGAAGAGTTCTCGTGTTGGCAGCGTTACGGTAGGAACCTTTCTGGAGCGTCGTCTGTAGGTTGGGGAGGTGGTGTTGATCGTGCTGGTGAGACTACAGCTAGTGGTAATAAGTATGGTTGGCAATGGTACGAGGATCCAAGGTTGGACTGTCTTGGTTACAGAAGCATTTTTCCTTCTGATGCAACTCGTGAGTTTCTTGATCGAATCAAAAAAAGCTTTGGTTCTTGAGCTTTGTATACTGATTTTTTACTTTGTCTATTTCTTTTTTTTTGAAGCGCCTTTGGTTGAGGCAGATAAAGAAACAGATGAGAGCAATTACCTTTTGTGGAGGTTAGAGCATGGAGTTGCTGAAGGATCAGCTGAAATACCTAAAGGTTTGATCTTTTTACTTTTATTTCTAACTCAATTCTTCTCTGCTTATTGATAATTTGTGGTGCAATTACAGGTGAAGCAATTCCACTTGAATATAATTTTGTGGGTCTTAATGCGATAAGCTTTGATAAAGGCTGCTATGTTGGTCAAGAGCTTATAGCTCGTACTCACCACCGTGGTGTCATCCGCAAACGCCTTGTTCCTTTACGATTCATTGATAGCAATGGAAAAGGTTAACACTTGAACTTATAGTATCTTTGTGGTCATGAATGCAAAAGATTTGTAATTGGTGGTTGTTGTGATGCAGAGGTGAACCAGAAAATCGCCGCTGGAGCTGAAGTGGTTGAATCAGGAAGCGGCAAGAAAGTGGGGACAGTTTCAACAGCTTTAGGTAGCCGAGGAATGGGAGTGATGAGAGTAGAGGAAGTCTTTAAAGCATCAGCTGAACTGTCAGTAAGTGGGTCAGAGGAGGTGAAGGTCGAGGCAATTAGACCGACGTGGTGGCCAGCTGAGTGGTTCCAACAGAATCAGTCAGGGGTTGCCTCTGCGTAGTGACTACTTTTTTTGAGGTTAAAGAAAATACTTGAACAGAATCTTGTGGTTTTACATAATGGTGATGTGGATTACATATCCTATTAGATGCTCCGGTAACAAGATTATTCCTGTTGTCGTTGTTTTTTTGCAGTTTAACAGAATAAAGTTGAATACTTTTCCGGCGAGAAGCTGCCCTTTATTGTTAATGCCAGGCAACAAGCAAGTTTGTAGCTTTGTTTACATTTCACTGTTTAACAAATAATAATGTTTTGATAATGATGCTACTGTCAAAATTCAAGTTTATTAAGTTTGGTGGTCTTGGTACATGAATTTGGTAACAAGACTGATCTTTAGTTTGATTCTGAACCGACTCTAACAGACTTCTAAATCCAGAAGAGACTGGTTCACTAAATTTCATGAGTTAGATCAAGGGCTAGTGAATATAGGAAATGAAACTGTTACACACTTCTGCATAGTAACTGTGAGGCTGAATGGTTGTAATGGCAAATGCCAGGTACATTCCCAAGTTCTCTGGTTTCAGTGACAACATTGGAATCATAAGGCTTTTCTTCAGAATCATCATGGAAGGATTAAGATGTGAAAGTCTGTTTTTCTCCCAGGGCCTTTTGATACAAAATCATCACATAGAAGAAGCCAAAGGTGAAACCAACTCATGGCTTGGCTGACTTGATGATATGATCCAAAAGGGAATTGATCTTCCTGTCTAGAACAAGGTCTTCTAAACTCGTGTTTTGTGAGAATTTTGTTCTCGATTAGTTCAACAGAGCTTTGTGGGAGTTCAATACTTTGTGATCAAGTTAATTAACAGATTAAGAAAGGTGAATACCATTGAAGTTATGTAGAAGAGAAATTTTATTCAAAAATTAAACCTCTCCTTGAACTGATTCAAAACCCTAAAAAAAAAAATACAAAAGTTCCATTAAGTAACGGAATTACAATATCTAACAAATAACTAAACCGTGTGACCCAAGTTTTGAAGCAATAGATGATCAATCCCTAATCTCAACCTCCCTTTGTTCCCAATCATCGATCATGGTACAGCACAGTCCGACACAAAGGGCAAGTGTTTCTGCGCTGAAGCCAAACCAAGAGACAAGCATCGTGGAAGATATGGGAACAGGTCATGCGAGTAGGTACGCCATGTTTCGGATTCGAACCACCAAGATTGTCGAGACAGATGGAACAGGGTTCTCTTCCCATCTTAGAACCCTTCAAGTCTTCTTTGCTCATCTTCCCTAGTTGAACCATGCTCGCCAACACCTTCGATGGAGAAGGGGTTATCTTGACGGTGATCGTCGCAATAAAACCTTCACGACCAAAACCTAACCCGGCTGCAGCCTCTGAGATATCTGAAGCTAGAAAATTAGATAACCAACGGTGGCTAACGAAAGAATCTTCGAGAATCTCTCTGCGGCTAAAGCCTAACTTGGTTGCAGCCCTTGAGATCTTTGGAGCTAACCAACGGCCACTGATCAGTTGATCTTGGATGAGCCTCTGGATTTGGCGATGACCTAAGTAACTAGGGAGACTGATATTGATGCGAAAGCTTGGAGAAACTTGAATCTCGTCAAATATGGTCTCGACGACGACAACGAATGAGTTTGCATGATTTCTTGAACGTCTCTCAACTTTGAAGTCGCTCAACTCCACACGGGGACGCATCATGTTTTGAAAACAAAGAAGAAAGATATAACTTTTTTTAGAGAATGATTTCTGATGCTTCTTAAGGTTACGTAAGTGAGATATATATAAGCGCGGTGTGATCGATCACTTACCTTTTTTCTTTCTGTTTTGTTATAAATTTCCTTTTTCGTTTTTATGGATCGACGATAATTATAAATGTATTATTAATATTGTAATTTCAGGTGGTAGGAAACTAGGAATATACAATTTTCATTTTAATTGATCAAAACCCTTAAATTTGTTGTGTTTTCTAATTCGTATTGGTGACTTTTCTAAACCTGTTTTTAAGATATATAAATAGGATACTTCTGTTCTTTAACTTTCTGTGTAGAGAAAAAGGTGATCGAAGTATTGACTGTGAGACAGAAACTACTCACACAAGTGATATCCGTTGTTCAGTTTAGATAACCATCATGAAGGATTAATTAGAATCTCTAAGAAACGACTCTCTCAGCACGAAAGTAGAATTATTGTGGTTATGATCGAATTGTTGTCTGAATACTGTGGATCTGTGGCGTGTAAATAATGCTAAAGGCATTTTGTAAACCTATATATTGAAACTGTATTGCAAAGAATCTGAAAGAATCACTTACTGAAGGTTTCTAAACATAAAGCCTAGTATATTTGGGAGCAACAATATTATGCTTATGGATAACAAGCTTGGTCTCTCTCATAGGTGAGAGCTGTCTGGCAGGTTTTCATATTGTTTTGGTTTTGGATGCTAATTGTTTTGGTTTATATTTAAAACCAAACTAGAAGAAGTACATATAATATTTGAATTCTGAAACTTAATGTCAATATTAATGGGTCTTTGTATACAACTACGCGTATTAATTTTGCGGTAGGAGTTTCAGCTTTAAGCACTGCAGTCCATTGCTCTGGAAAAAGCATATATAAGGTTACAAAAAACTGGAGCAAGAGAGACACGTCACACAAGAAAGACAAAGAACTACATATGTAGCTTTGTGGCCGGATGATACTTTGATGTCGATTTTTTTGGTGATTAAGTTGATAATAGAAAAGAAAGACTTTGTTACTTGTATCAGTTGTATGTGATCCTAAAACCATTTAAGTTATGTTTGACTTTGCAGATTTCTAAGTAAGTACTGATGCTATTAAAATTTCAACACTCTCTGAAATCTGAATTGACTCAAAACCCTAAAATAAAATAAAAATCCAAAAGTACATTCGATTTTAGGAACTACGACATCTAATTGCCTCTTTGAAACCTTAATTTCAGTCCCCATTGTTCAAAATAGTAGACCGATCGTACAGCACAGTGCGACATTGATATAGCTATTCGTAGAGACACGTGGTCGGTTGGGATTAAGAGTAAGTGGAAGGAAGATTTAAATAAAAGGAGTAAGGAGATGACTACACGTGTACGGTGGCGAGGAAGAAAGTTTGTTTCAGAGTAACAAACTTGTTATACTCTGTTTTCGAGTTTTCTTTTTCATTCATTCAGATCATTTGTAAACAAACTTCTTTTCTCTCAATTTCTGTAAACTTGGATTTCTCAAAGTAGTTGGAAGATTGATTCTATTGCGATATCTTCGACTCTTGAGTAAGGATTGTTGTTTCATGAACATCAGTTCTTGTGATTGTTAGTGAACTTACGGTTATTCTCTATCAAAGGTATCAGTGACTCGACAATTCTCGGAAAATGGCGGAAACCAAAGCTCAGCAATCTTTGAAGGAGGCGGTTGTGAAGGAGACGACGGAAGCGATTGGATCTCAATTGAGTCGAATGGAGGAAACGATCGCTGAACAAAATACGAAGATCGATAAGAGTGTAGCAGATATGTTTGAAGCAATTCGAATCATTACGGAGAAGACGGAGAAAGCGATCTCTGGTTTTGATCGTTATCATTGCGATACAGCTCCGAGAACTTTGCAAATCAGGAAATCAACGTTGCGACTAACGATCCTCTTCGCAATACCAGATCTGGTACGAACCATCAGTACAACGGTATGACGAGGTTAGGTCGTCTTGATTTTCCAAGATTCAAGGGTGATAAAATTAGGGATTGGTTGTTTAAGGTGGAGGAATTTTTTGCGATTGATAATACTCCTGGTGATTTGAAAGTGAGATTATCATCGATTCATTTTGATAATCCTGCATCAGCTTGGCACCAAGCTCTTTTACAGTCTGAATTAGGCTCAGATCTGATGACAGATTGGGCTACCTACCGTAAGCTACTTCTTGAGCGGTTTGAAGAAGTTTTGGATGATCCTATTGCAGAGCTTAAGCAATTGCAGGAAACTGAGGGTATTACGGAGTATAATGAGAAGTTTGAACTCATCCGAGCTAGAGTGAAGCTATCTGAGGAATATTTGCTAAGTGCTTACCTAGCAGGTTTGAGAAATGATACTCAGATGCATGTGAGAATGTTTCAGCCTCAGGATGTAAGACAGTGCTTTGTGCTGGGACGCTTATATGAGATGGCACACCCACGTAAGCAATCTACGTGGTCAGCATCTAAGAGCACATTTGGGAAGAATTCAACATATTATAAGAAGGAAGGTGAAGCTAAACCTAATGTGACTCCTACATCTGAACCAAAACCCTCGTTGATTCAACCTCAGAAGTTTCTCACACCTGCAGAAATGAGTGACAGGAGAGCTAAAGGTCTTTGTTATTTTTGTGATGAAAAGTTCACTCCTGCACATTACATAACACATAAAAAAGTTCAGCTTTATGTGTTAGATGTGGCTGAGGAGGAAGAGGAAGATGCAGAAGTAAGAGCTATCTTAGAAGAGCAAGAAGATTGTGATATTGCTCACATTTCTGTTAATGCAGTTGCTGGTACTTCGGATTATACAACGATGAAGGTTAAAGGAATTCATGGGAAGATGTCTGTGTTTGTGTTAATTGATTCTGGATCAACACATAATTTCATCGACACTAGAGTTGCTGAGTTGTTGGGATGTAAGATTAATCCACCTGGTAACGCAAGAGTAACAGTGGCAGATGGGGGTCAACTCAGAGTTACAGGGAGGATTGATAAGTTGAGATGGAGCTTTCAAAACCATAATTTTCAAGCAGATTTTATGGTCATTGCGTTGGGTAACTGTGATATGGTCTTAGAAGTACAATGGTTTCGAACCCTTGGACCCATCACATGGGATTTTGATAAGTTGATCATGCAGTTTAAGTTTGATTCAAAGCGAGTAACACTGAATGGTATACACCCTGGTTCTATACGTGAGTCTAAAGCATCTAAGATCAACAAGATCAGGGAGTCTCAACCACAGTTATCAATGATATATGCTTATGAAGTGCAAGAGCAGAATCAAGTGGAACTTTACTCGTTGCAAGAAGGTCTTAATGACAGTAAAATTCCACTTGCAATACAAAGTCTTTTGGTGGAGATTACAGATATTTTTACTGAACCATCTAAACTTCCACCTTTTAGACCAAACCATAACCACATAATTCCATTAAGAGAAGGTGCTAACCTGGTGAACCAAAGACCTTATCGATATGCGCTATATCAGAAGAATGAAATTGATCAAATGGTTCAGGATATGTTGAAGAGTGGTACTATTCAACCGAGTTGCAGTCCTTTTGCTTCTCCAGTGGTATTTGTAAAGAAGAAGGATGGTACATGAAGGTTATGTGTTGACTATAGAGGCCTTAAGAGATGACTATTAAAGACAGATTTCCTATACCGCTCATTGAAGATCTAATGGATGAACTGGGAGGATCAGTGATATACTCAAAAATTGATTTGAGAGCTGGATATCATCAAGTGCGAATGGAGATAGAGGACATTCACAAGACTGCATTCAAAACTCACAGTGGGCATTATGAGTACTTAGTGATGCCCTTTGGCCTCACTAATGCACCGGCTACGTTTCAGGGCTTAATGAATGCAGTTTTTGCAGAATTTTTGAGGAAGTTTGTTTTGATTTTCTTTGATGACATCCTTGTGTATAGCAGTTATTTGGAGGAACATAAGGGTCATCTGAAGCGAGTCTTTGAAGTGATGAGAAGAAATAGCTTATTTTCTAAGGAGAGTAAGTGTGCTTTTGCAACTACTAAGGTGGAGTACCTCGGAGATTATATTGAAGCACAAGGAATTTCCACTGATCCTAACAAGATCAAGGCGGTTGCAGAGTGGCCTACTCCTGGTACTTTGAAACAGTTGCGTGGGTTCCTTGGTCTGGCTGGCTACTACAGACGTTTTGTCAAAAACTTTGGTACAATTTCTCGGCCTCTTACTACTTTGACGAAGAAGGAGGCTTTTGACTGGACAAAAGAAGCTCAATTAGCTTTTGAAGAGTTGAAGCATGCGCTATGTCAAGCTCCGGTTTTGGCATTACCACAGTTTGATAAGGACTTTGTAGTGGAGATGCAAGTGGTAGTGGTATTGACGCTGTTCTTATGCAGGAAGGTCATCCACTCGCTTACATTAGTAGGCATTTGAAGGGTAAACAGTTACACTTGTCTATATATGAGAAGGAACTGTTGGCCGTGGTATTTGCAGTTCAAAAGTGGAGACACTACTTGATTACGAGACACTTTGTGATTAGGACTGATCAGAAGAGCCTTAAGTACTTACTAGAATAGAGGTTAAATACTCCCATTCAACAACAGTGGTTGCCTAAGTTGTTGGAGTTTGACTACGAAATTCAGTACCGACAGGGGAAAGACAATGTTGCTGCAGATGCTCTATCAAGAGTTGATGGTGCTGAAGTGTTGCATATGGCAATGTCTGTGTTAGATTGTGATCTCATGAAATAGATACAGGAGGGATATGTTCAGGATGCCGAAATCTCAGAACTTATTGAGCAGTTGAAGAAAGATCCGAAGGCTAAGAAACATTATTCTTGGGTACAAAACGTCTTGAGAAGGAAAAGTAAGATAGCTGTTCCTGCTATACCGGAGGTCAGAGATAAAATCTTGGAGTGGTTGCACAGTTCTGGTCTTGGTGGACATTCTGGAAGGGATGCAACGATGCAGAGAGTGAAAGGGTTGTTCTATTGGAAAGGATTGTCTAAGGATGTTCATGCTTATATACGGAAGTGTGTGGTGTGTCAGACCTGCAAATATGAGACAGCTGCTTCACCAGGTCTCATACAACCTTTACCAATTCCTGAGACAATATGGACAGACATCTCTATGGATTTTATTGATGGATTACCTTTATCTTGTGGGAAGTCAGTGATCTTTGTAATCGTGGACAGGCTTTCTAAAGCAGCTCATTTCATACCGTTGGCACATCCGTATACAGCTCTATCAGTAGCTCAAGCATTCTTGGATAATGTATTCAAATTACATGGTCTTCCAAGGACGATTGTGAGTGATAGGGATGCAGTTTTTTTAAGTGAATTCTGGAAGGAGTTGTTTGCGTTGCAAGGAGTGGCCTTACAGTTTTCTTCAGCCTATCATCCTCAAAGTGATGGACAAACGGAGGTGGTGAATAGATGTTTGGAGACTTACCTTCGATGTATGTGTAGTGATAGACCTCCTCTTTGGTCTAAATGGATTTCTTTGGCAGAGTTTTGGTACAATACTAACTACCACACGGAAACTCAGCTTACCCCCTTTGAAGCAGTATATGGACAACCACCATCTATCCACTTACCTTACCTTCCAGGAGAATCTAAAGTAGCAGTGGTTGCTCGAACTCTGCAGGAGCGGGAGAATATGATTAAGATCTTGAGGTTTCATTTGGTACGCCCACAACATCGAATGCAGCAAAATGCAGATTTACACAAGACATAAAGGAGCTTTGAGTTGGGTGACTATGTGTTTGTGAAGTTACAACCATATCGTCAAAAGTCCTTGGTGTTAAGAGGGAATCAGAAGTTAGCTCCTAAGTACTTTGGTCCCTCTAAGATCATCGACACTTGTGGGAAGGTTGCTTATAAGTTGGAGTTACCGGTGACTTCTTCGGTTCATCCGGTCTTTCACGTGTCACAGCTTCGAGAATTTGTGGGAAATGTGGCTGTTGCAACTCAATTACCTAATGCTAGCTCTGATGTGTTGGTAAGGGAACCTGAGTTTATTGTTGAGAGGAAGATGGTCCAACGTCAGGGGCGAGCTGTTACAATGGTGTTGGTTAAGTGGGCTAACGAGACTGTGGAGGAAGCAACTTAGGAGTTTCTCTTTGACATCACCAAGAAGTTTCCAAACTTTAAACCTTAAGGTCAAGGTTTCTTGGAGGGGAAGGATTTGATATAGCTATTCGTAGAGACACGTGGTCGGCTGGGATTAAGAGCAAGTGGAGGGAAGATTTAAATAAAAGGAGGAAGGAGATGACTACACGTGTACGGTGGCGAGGAAGAAAGTTTGTTACAGAGTAACAAACTTGTTATACTCTGTTTTCGAGTTTTCTTTTTCATTCATTCAGATCATTTGTAAACAAACTTCTTTTCTCTCAATTTCTATAAACTTGGATTTCTTAAAGTAGTTGGAAGATTGATTCTATTGCGAGATCTTCGACTCTTGAGTAAGGATTGTTGTTTCATGAACATCAGTTCTTGTGATTGTTAGTGAACTTACGGTTATTCTCTATCAGACACAGAGTCTTTTTGCCTGTTTATGGTTCATCGCAAATGATTTTGGTCAGTTATGTGTCTTCCCTATTTCTACTATTCTTAGTCGTGTGATTTTTCTCTTATAGTTTCAAGTTGTATTATTTTATAACAATTCAAGTTTGTTGAAGATGGTTTTTGGATAATGAAGATGGTGTTTGGATCTTCAAGGCCTTGTCAATAAAAAAGGATCAGTAAAAGCTATGATCATCATCTATGGTGATTAACAGGGTACATAGACTTCAGGCTAGAGAATAATCTTGTGAAACTATAGGCATATATTACATTATAAAGATAGATTTGGATTCACAAGAAACAAGTTGACAAACATAATAGATTGATTTTACTACAGAGTGCATATGGATCAAACTCTCAAGCTGAATTATTATTCCGATATTGAGACAACTGAGTTTCCAAAACACACCTAAGTCCTGAAGCTGTACATTGCTCAAAATCTACTAGCAAACAAATGAAAAAAAAAAAAAAAAAAATCTAGCAACACAGAAACAATGCAGATACGTAGGTAGCTTTTATGTTGAGATAGCCAATCTTCCTCATCGATGCAAGTGCTCGAAGTTCAACCATAAACTGAGTAGAGAGAAACTGAGAGAGCTCACCAAGAGCTCTTCTTCTTGGAGTAAAAACCCATATACCATTTCACAAACTTCTTCAAACCCGTCTCAAGATCAACAGCAGGTTTATACCCAATCTCACTCTGCGCCAACGTGATATTAGCATGAGTGAACTCAACATCCCCATTCCTAGGCAAAGGCATAACCTTCTTCTTCGCCTTCATCTTCAACAGCTTCTCCAATATCTTCACAAGCTTAGTAACAGGAACAGGAGAAGTATTCCCCAGATTGTAAATCCTAAACATAGCAGGACCTTTCTTCTTCCCACCACTACCAGTACTCTTCTCAGCAGTATCCAACGCACCTAAACACCCTTTCACAATATCATCAATGTAAGTGAAGTCCCTAGCAACACTACCTTTATCAGGAGACTCAAACACCGTAATCGTCTTCCCTTTGAGTATATCTTTAGTGAAGAAGAAGTAAGCCATGTCTGGTCTCCCCCAAGGACCATAAACCGTGAAAAACCTCAAACCGGTTAACGATAAACCGTAGATATGGTTATAAGTGTGAGCTATCCCTTCACCTGCCTTCTTCGTCGCTGCGTATAAGCTCGCGGGGTGATCCGTACGGTCTTTCTCCGAGAAGGGCACTTTCGTATTTAGACCATAGACAGAGCTAGAAGAGGCCCAAACAACCGCAGGCTGAGGATTCGCCGACTTCGAGACTTCTAACAGATTAACGAACCCAGCGATGTTACTGTTCACATACGATCCAGGGTTCTGCATCGCGTAACGGACGCCGGCTTGTGCGGCGAGATGCATCACGTGCGTGAATAAAACGACGTCGAAGAGCTTCTTGAGCAAAACTGCGTCGTTTATGTCTCCCTCGACGACGAAGACTCCCGATCTCTCCAGAAGCCCCTGCCTCGCTCGCTTCAGCTTCGGATCGTAGTATTTGTTGAAATTGTCGAGACCTAAAACCCCGTCGCCGCGTCGCCGCAGCGCGATCGAGACGTGTGTGCCGACGAATCCGGCGGCTCCGGTGACAAGAACGGTTAAGCCGCCGGGAGACCTGGGGTGAGCGGATTTGCGGACTTGTTTCTCCCACTGAGAGCCGCCGTATTTAGCGGAGAGGGAGGATGGTGAGTCGTTGAGGTTGCGGCGGGAAGGGGTCGGGGGAGGGGATAGGAGGAGGTAGAAGAGGAAGAGAGCGAGGAAGAGGGAAGCCCAGAGGGTGGGTTTGGAGAGGCGGAGGTAGCGGTGGTGGTGGAGGATGCCGTAAGGGAGGGCTTTGTCGGTTTTGTACTTGCCGGGAGTGGAAGGGAGATCGTCGAGGTGGGACATTGCGCCGGGAGGATGGATTAGGGTTAGGGTTGTTGGTTGGTAGAGAGCAAAGATGGAGGAAGTCAAAAATGAGAAGTTTCCGGGAATGAAGAGAAGACTTCTTTTACTTGCTATTCCTCTCTGCCTTTATTGATTTATCTTTCATTAAAATTATATATGATTTTTCTTTCTTTTTTTTGTTAAATCTTCAAGTCATAGTAATTTAGCTGTCAGAGATCATATTGGATCTCATGTATCCTTGATTGCCTTTTCAACGCTAATGATTTTAATGTGGTTTTAGACCAGGATATTCTGATATCCGTTCTATTATAATTTAAATTGGGTATTTAGAATTTTGGTTTGGGTTTGGTTACATCTATATTAAGGTCGGATTTGATGCACAATTGCATTAGGAAACTATGGATCTGTGACAAAGAAAAGCTTTTACATTTATGACACTGATATACAATCATAAGGATATTGTCGACACAACACAATTCGTATGTACGTACTATGTATAAAACAGGTCTATTGGCTTCGAATAGATGATGCAGATCAAACAAAAATGTAGATCAAACAGAACAAATGCAGATCATGCAGAACAAATACATGTCATATAGATTTAATTAATTATTATATATAAATAAATGTTAAAAAATCAAAATTAAATATCTAAAAATATAACTTATTATAGATAGATAAAAATATCATAAATAATATCATCATTTACTAACGAAATTTATAATTATATAAAAATTGGTACAATTACAAAAATTATAAGAGTATGCATGTTTTGTTCTTATTTTTATATCTTTATTCAATTCTTGTTTTTTTGTTAGAATTTGGTTCAAGTACAGAACTAATACTATCAAATTTTTATATATGATATTTTATCAACAAAATATTATAATTTGTATAATATGTTTTGCATAAAAATTATATAAATTTTTGATTATCTAAATTAAGTATATAAATTATACTTGATAAATTATTAAACACTACAAATTAATAAATTATTATGGTCTCGAGCTCAGTTCACAATATAACACAAAATAGATAAAATAATAATTTTTAAGAAAATATTATATAAATATATGATCTCATTAAGATTATAAACTAATAATTTATATGTATATAATCTATATAATGAAATAAAACATTGTATAGTTTTTTTATATTTAAATGATATTATCTCTATTTTCTCTTAACAGTTAAATATATTTTGAAAATATTTAAGAAAATTAAATCTAAAACCACAGTGAAATTCTATAGAACATATATCATATACACGAAACAATATAAGAAAAATAATGTTAAAGTGGAATTTCAATAATTTAATTAATATATATATAGTAAAAATAATCATTTTCTTACTTTATTTAAAAATATTCTCTAAAATAGGAAAATCTAAAAAAAGTTTTTGTAACTTAATAACTTTATAAATTAAATTAAATGTCATAGTACTAACATTATTAATTTATTAATTTATAAATTTTTACGTATGTGTTTACGAAATTGTGTAAAATTTAATATATATATATATATGTATAGAATATATCATTTTATATAGTTGTATAAAATATGTATTTTTGAATTCTTTACAAGACAACAAAGACTTATTTTTAAATAAGATTTTCTGTTATCAAAACATAGATAACCTAGTATTTAATATTTATAGGTAAAAAAAAAAAATAATTCAGAAAATAGTAATTAGAAGGAAGTATGTATTGATTGGCCTCTGCATTTGACCCACAATTTTTTTCCTTGTTTCTGCATGACAATATATTATCACATAGGTTTGTCCAGAATGCAGTTTTTTTTTATTATTAATCTTTTTCTACTAGTTTTAGTGTTGAATGGAAGTTAAATACAGAACAATCTGCATATTAATTTCTTCTACTTTTCTTCTGCTTTTTTTCTGCATTTCTCCTGTCCTACATTCAAATCCGTTGTTTAATACTTAATATATATATATATATATATATATAGTGGCGAACCCCGGGTTAAATTTTACATGGGTCAAACTATGTAATCATAAAGAAAAAAAATAGAAGGTGTCACCATTGAGTTTCGTTCCATGGTTTGGGGGTATCACATGTGAAACTTTACCAACAGAGCTGCTGGATTTTAATAGTTTTGGTAAACAAAATAAAAGATATAGAGATTTAAGGGGTGTGAGGTGACATCCCATTGGTATACATGGGTCCGCCTCTATATATATATATATATATATATATATATGTCAAAGAGTAATTTCATCATATAGCTATGAAACAGAAGATAATTAAGTATATGGAAGAGCCACGGTTACTAATTTATAATCCCAGCATTGTCCCTATCTTTAGTCATGCACCTATCTCTGCCTATCTCTGACATATAGGTTTGCTAAAGTCTACGATGAGACTTACAGCTACACAACTCTCTTTTTCTCTAGTTCTCTCACTTCTTCACTCTTTCTTGTTTCTGTTTATTTTCTTAATTCCTTCTTGATTTTTTTTTCTGGACTCTTATTTCTGATTTGATAAGTTTATATTCTCTTTGATTTTTCATATTGTGTCAATCTGAAACGAGAAAAGCAAGCATCATTCATGACGACTGGTAATCTGACAAAGATGGTTTCCATGGATACTCAACACATACTAATTATTCTTCTAAAAGTCTCTTGAGAAAGACAAGATTGAGAAGAACGCATGCTTTATTTAGAAATTTCCTCTTTATAATTATTGATTTCTCTTCGAGGGATTGGGAAAATCTATGCATTGATCTTCTGTTACAGCATCTGCTCAATCCTTTCATTTTGCTTCACCAATTACGCAAGCGAAATCCCTTAATTTTCCATGTACATTTATTGTTGAGATCTGTTATTAACTCTCAGATTTGTAAATATATATTTTCTTTCTCTTTAAGTTTCGGATCAGTACTTGTTAGGATCTTTACTTAGTCGCTCATAGTGATTCTACTACTTTTCTCTTTGATTTCTTCTGATGAGTCAGGATTAGAGGGGAATAAGCCAACTTTGGTCCTATGTAAAAAGCTAAAGTATCCGGTTTATTTTCTGGTTATTACATTTATATCCTGTTCATACGTATTTACTTTATAGATATATAAATTATTTTCTGGCTATTATCTTTATATCTGGATTATCATTGAATTATTAATTTTATTTTTTTCAAATGATCCCTCTTATTTTTCACAGAGTAAAATTATCCGGTTTATTTTTCAAATAACCGGTTCAGCATTGCGTTATTTTTTTCCACAAAATGAATATTTGGTTAACATATCTGGATCAACATATATATCTGGCTATATGTATTAGATAATTAAGGACTGTCCATTGCCCAGTGGTTCTGGTTCTTGTATTAGATTCACATGTTGCGGGTTTTAATCCAGTGTATGTCATTTTTGTTTTTTCCATTTTTGTCTGTTAATCCAGGAATTACCAGAAAATCTTCATTTTCTTCCTCGCATCTGTCAAACAAGAAAACTTAATTTCTGTATTTCACCTCCATTTTTAATAATTCTATCTTTGAGCTTAGTGGTGATTGACTCGCTTTAGTGTTCCTTACTCTCATTAAACCATCAAAACTTTCCAGTGTGGTATACTACCTTTGTCCCGAATAAAGCTCCTGTTTTTTTTTTTCAAAATCCGTCCATAAAACACCATCTACTTGAGATTGAGGGCACCATTTCGTCAACTAGTATTCGAGACTGATCTATCCTGTGTTAGAACAATTTGTGCCTCCACCCAAAATTATACCAATTAACTTCTATTATTTTTTGTCATCTATCAATTAAATTTAGCGGTATATATGTTTTTAAACTCTTTAATAAATATTATTTTAGTCATTTTAGAGATATTCATGATAAATTTTGAAAAAATAAATATTCTAAGATATTTCTTATATATATATGTATATATTGGAGTTTTCATTTACTTTTTTCCAAAGGAAATTTCTATCTAATGTATTTAATTTAGTATTTTAAAGTATTTAGACATATTGAGTTTGAGAATTTTAAAGGAAATAAATTTTGATCTATTTATTAGTTAAATAATTTTAGAGTTAGAATATAATATAAATTTTACATTCTCACAAAAATCTCTTAAACCAAGCTTAATCAGAATAATTATCTAAAATATAAAAAAATATTATATTTTAATGACATTAGTTTTAAAATACACTATAATACATTATAAAATCAAAAGTGTAATATAATTTTAATTTTGTAAACTCATATTTAGACGCAAATTATTTGTTTTATTATAACTATTTAAATCATATAGATTAATACATTTTAGAAAATATTTTTAAAATATGTTACTGATTTAATTAAATATTTTATATCCATTTATTGAAATTTGATATTTATTTCAACAAAAGAGTAATTACAAATATCTCTATGATATTATTTGAAAAGTGAAATTTCTACTTGTTTCTTTCAGAAAAATATTATGTTATAAAAATTTCATTTAAATATGTTTCTAAATTTAAGAGAACAACCAACCTAAATTTAAAATTAAAAAATTAAAAAATATTAATATATTTAGAGAAACAAAATATTTTGATTGAATTCAAAGAAGTAGATGCAATCTAATATACCTAAGTGATAACTAAACCAACAAAATATTACATATTTAAAAATACATGAATTTTAAAAATATTATATTTATAAATAAAAATTATAAAATTATTTATTCTGAGAATAAACAATTAATCAGTTATTATTTAATGTTTATTTTAAAATATTTATATTCATGCACAAACACGGAAGAATCACCTAGTAATACATACTAAATTAAGATCTCTGCATTCCGCGGCATAAAATTGTATATATAACTATTTTTATATATTATATTTTTTACATATTATAAAATAATAATATATATTGAATCATTTAAATTTTTTTAATTATTACATATATAATTAAATTAATGCAAGCGCATAAACACATTTTATTAGTCCAGTTAAACATTTTTCTATTTTATATCGTATATAATTAAATTTAGATGATATTAATACATGTATATATATAGTATATTTTTTATATTGATATCTATTAAATGATGTTTTCTTCTCATATGGTTTTTGAACATTTGTATTTTTTTTTATAACAAAAACTTTAAATCACTCATAACAAAACTATCATTGTGGGATGTTTAATAGTTTTAGTAAGAATCTTTTTTTTTTAACCCAATGCAGAATTGAAAGTTAAATATTATGTTGTCAGTATTTGTTCAAAGATTTTATAAAAAAAATGTTCAAAGTACAGTCTGAAATTAAAATATTTATTTATTTTAAATGGTAATATTTTAATTTAATGATATATATATATATATATATATATATATATATATATATATCTTTTAATCTTAATATTTATTAAACATATAACATATACTATTTTTATTATATGGTTAATGTGGTTGTTTAATTTATTTTAATATTTTAAAATTCATAAAAATGATAGAAGATATACTATTTCGCCAAATATTTATTATTTTAATCATTAATTTTCATATATATATTTTAGCTACATTTGGAAATTCCGTAATTTTTATTTATGGAAAGAAGAAATAACATTAATAATTAATTAATGGTTAGTTTAATAAAAAAATTATATATATATATATATATATATATATATATATATATATATTTTTTTTAGCTACACATGAATACTTCAAATGTTGTAATGTTTCTTTAATAATATAATAGGGGATATGGAAGAATTAAGAACACTGTTGTTGTGTGGAATACGAAAAAATAGGACCCATGCAGAAAATCCATCTCTTATGTGACTGCAAACCTTCTTGGCAAAAGACTTTCAAGCCTATGAAGGGACAAGCATCCAAGAGATATGATCCTGTTTTCATTGCTTTCACAATAAGCTTAGATACCTGCAATTGAAAAGTCTAACATTACTCTCTTTTCATAGAAAATAAATTGTAGTTTGGAAGACCATAGAATAAGGTTACTCCCTCCATTTAATATCGACTTCAAAGTACTTGTCCAATCCGGATTAGCACTATCTTGCAGCAGACTTGCACCCACTGTCGTCCAAACTGTATAAGAATACGAACATGTGAAAAGATGTAATATCTACTTTCGTCAGGTACGCCACACATCATACAGCATACACCCCTGAAATTTAGGCTCAAGTACGCATTATATCACCTATTGAGAGACGATATGAAAGAGTAGCGTGGTACTGCCTAACAAACCAGATCAGCTTATCATATTCCACTCAAGTTTTCCTACGTCTAGTTTTCCCATGTTTTGGAGGCATAGAAAGTATCAAAATATTTGGATACACAAATTATGATTTAATTAAGTATGAAAATTCATTCTTATTTACATATTTGGTATAATGATAAGTAGTTCTGTTTCTTCTATATATTTTTTTTTGTAACTAACGAGATAAAACCACAGTCTATACACCATGTGACCATGTTTATTGCAGGTCCCTTAAGCTGGGTACCTTAGCATATGGTCTTTTGGCTTTTAACTGAAAACGCTAAGGGGCGTCCTTTAAATCTCTTATGTAAAGAACGTCCCATAACGTTTTCAGTTAAAAACTAAGGGACCCAGCTTAAAGGACCTGCAATAAACATGCCCTGAACTATGCAATCTAGATTAAGGAAGTTTGGACGGATATGAAACTAATATCCAATTATGGAGGTAAAAAATTTCCCTAGTTCAGTAATATAGATATTTTTTTTTTTTACCGAACAAATAATTATATTCATTATAAAACAAAAACTTGGAAAACTTAGATGCCTTGGAGAACACAGAGGACATTGTACTTTACCTCCCTAAACCAGTAATACTTTTTGGTTTTGAATAAGGGCATCTACATCAATGAATCCCTTCTTGGGGTTCATTGAATCATTTTTTTATTATTAAAAATTTTCTGTTTTTTTTTTGTTTTTTTTTTTTTTTTAAAACAAAAAAAAATCTAGACCAATCCCGAGCCGCCACGTGTTGAACCTCAGAAGAGAGGGGTTCACCGCGGTGAACTTTAGGAGAGAAGAGTTCATAGGTTTTTATTATTTTATTATTTTTTTTTCTTAATTTCCGTGTGAACTCCCCCCCATGAACCTTCAATGGGGGTGCTCTAACAATTGCTAATTACAACGTCTTAGTTTTTATAGATAAAGATTCGAGTCGGACAGCCTGGGAACCGGCAAGGCAACAAGAGGGGTCTTGAGCTTCAAGACAATGCCAAACTTCTCTTCTAAATCTAACACACGTCCTTCGGGAATCTTCCAGTCGAACGAATGTAATAGCGTCGCGAGAGTGTACAAAACCATCCTCTCAGCGAGGGCTACACCGGCGCAAATTCTCCGACCAGATCCAAACGGAAGAAAGCTGTAATCAGTTCCAGTAAAATCACAAGACTTATTATCAAGAAACCTCTCGGGACGAAACTCAGTCGGATTCTCCCACACGTTTGGGTCTCTTTGGATAGACCAAACATTGATGAAAACTTTAGTGTCTTTAGGGATAGTGTAACCGCCCACCACGGCAGTTTCAGCTGGACGGTGAGGGACTAACAAAGGAATGGTTGGATGAAGTCTAAGTGTTTCTTTCATAATGGCTAGTATGTAAGGAAGTTTAGTGATGTGTGATTCTTCAACAATGTTTTCTTTTCCTACCACTTCGTCTAGCTCTTGTTGCGCTCTTTTCATCAACTGTGGGTTTCTTATAAGCTCGGCCATCGCAAACTCTATCGTGTTTGTAGATGTATCGGTACCACCAACCACCATATCCTTCACATATACAGTACATTAATGATATTACTCTCAGAAACTAAGACACATATAAATACAACTACGTATTTTTTCTCAGAAGGTCTTGGACTAATCCGGCATAAATCTGCCATCTAAATTTTAAAGTAACCAAAGCTTAAATATGCGAAAAATATCAACAACAAAGTATCCTAGTGGTTAAAACTTACATATTACTTAGTAAAGATTTTGGAGGTCACGTGTTGCATTGAAAAAGTCTATTTTCCAAATAAAGTTAAATTTTCCAAATAAAGTTAGATTGTTAAAAAAAAAACGGGTTAAATTATATGACGTGAACCTCACTCTAGAGAAGCTCAAAAACTCCTAATCGATGTAATATGCAAAAATTAGACACCAAAAATATAAGGGAAGTTAACTCAACTAATATAAATTTTATTAATTATTATCACAACCATACAAAACTTTTTTTTATTACTACCTTTTTTTTAATACCCAGCGTGCCCTTTTTTCATGTTGTGAGAAAAAACATATTTACAAGAATGCCATTACTTTTTTATGCCACGTAAGCAAAAAGTTTGGGTCCACGTAAGAATGCGGCATAAA